GCCGGCAGCAACATCAACGATACTGCTGCAACGACAAGCACCGCCACAACAACCATAGCAACTCGCACTACAGGACGCCTCAAGGTAAGTTACAATTTCCCCCCGATTTACCAAATACCTCCTGGTACTGAATATTCATTCATTTCACTTGCCCGCCGCAACTAATAGAAGCCCAAACAAGTGTACGATCCATCCTACAACTATGTTCGATACCGCAACACAACGCCAGCAAACGCCACAGCACAGACGGCGCCAATGCCGGCACCGGCCGCGACCGCGACCGCCACAGCAGCGGTCCCAGTGCGTGTTACATCGCCTGTGGCGGTGGCTGCAACCAAGCCAGATTCAGTTGCCAATGCTGATGCCCAAGATGCTGAGTCAGGCGCCCAGCCGCAGCGTCAGTATGATATATGTCAGAAATGCAAACAGATGGAAGTAAAGCGTGGCTCTGGACACAAAAGTAATTTTCTTGGTTGCAAGAGCTGCCTGCACAAATGTAAGTTACAGTCGCAACACACCGTACCCTACACACACCCACACACACACACGTTTCTTGTTATGCATTTTTCAGGGCATTTCTCGTGCATGTCCATCAGTTTTGATGTCCTCTCGGTTGCTCGCAAGAAGTACAAATGCCCCTCGTGCCGCAATTGCAGCATTTGTGGCGCCAAGGGAACAGACTTGGCCATTTGCTCAACTTGCGTTTATTCGTTTCATCGCGATTGCCATGATCCGCCATTGAGCGGCTCCGATCTCAGTGAGCGCCAGTGGCAATGTCACAGCTGTGAGCACGAACCGAACCACAACAATAACAACAACAACACTTCGGGTGGTGAGCATACTGGACGCAAATCGTATCCGGGACGCATGAAGCGTGCCCAGTCTGATCCCGCTGGTCAGGAGAAGCAGGCAAAACTCGTGAAGGAGTCAAAAGAAGAAACAAAACGCGCCACCAAAAAGAAAGAGAAAGCGGCAAAGCAAGAGGGAGAGGGAGAGCATAAGCAAAATAAAGAGGAAAAGAAAAAGGAAGAGCTAGAGCCACAGTCAAAACTCAAAGAAGAGGCCGATAAACGCTTGTCCACTGATGAATCAGACATGCCCATGGAGGCAGCTGCTGCTGTTGAGGAGCCTAAAGTAGAGACCAAGGAGGAGCCAGAGGTAATGCCAGCTGAAACCATGCCCGAGCCAATGGAGCAAGAAACTGCAACAGAAACTGAGCATAAAGGACACCGTCGTCTTCGACGACGACGACGAGGACGAAGAGGTGTCGACCACCTTGTTTACGGCGAGCCGTACCTGTACCTAGGCGTCGGTAACCTTCGCCGTCGCCACGGTTTACCGTCGCTACTAATACTCGGTGGTGGCGGTGGCGATGACCATGCTAATGGACGACTGCTGCATGGCCACTGAAGCAGCTTAGGGCAGAGCAACTGGACTACCGAACAGGTTACCGCATATGTGTCACGTTTCTATCCGGAGGAGGCACAAGAACTCAACAGACAGGACATGGATGGTGAAGCACTGTTGATGCTTACGCGCGAGGATATGATACGATGTTTTGGCTTTAAACTTGGCCAAGCACTGCGCGTATTTCAGGTCATACTTGGCCTACAAATGCGCAACAACATTGTATCGCTAGGCTGGTCATCCACTTAGTTTTTAGCAGCTTCCCTAAGGATACATTTACAGACTTAAGTTAGATATTTTTTTGTTTGTTGTTTTTCGAACCTTAACTACAAAGTAACGCGAATACTCCGACGTCGAAAAAATCGTAGTAAACTAGAAAGCATTAGTATAAGTTTTTATTTTTTAGTTTGAAAAAAAAGACTCAAAATGTTTGTGATCGAAAACGAATTTCGAAACATAATTTAGACAGACACACACGCGCGGTCTTTCTCTAGTCAGAAGTAGACAAATTTCCCGACATCGTTGCTGGAAAATTCATTTAAAAATACGTTCAGAAAATGTATAAAAAGAATGCTGGAGACCGCTTCAGAAAAATGTACATGAAAGGCACTTCAATTTAAATGTAAAGCTCTTTAGCACTCAAAATCAAAATATGTATAAATAATAATCGTACCAGCAACTCTCAAATTAAAATTAAGAACAGCGAACACTAAAGGAACGCTCAAATTTAAACGAATTGGTACAGTTTTCCGCTTTTAAAGTTACGAACTTGCATAAAAAATAAGCCTTAAAATAAGAATAATTTTAAATTTAATATAATGAAAACGGCAAACCTCTTTAGGTACCTAAAATACTTGAAGAAATCCTTTAAAATGTATAAGTAACTCTCAAGTCTAAGTAACTTTAGTGCGCGATTTAGTAATTTTTTTGGTACTTAAAGATGTTTGACAGAATTCAACAAAATTTGGGTCTTAGAAGTTGCGAAAACTACACAAAATAGCGAAGAAAGAGAAGAGAAATCCTTAAAAATGTATAAATAATTCTCAGAAAAGAATGTTGTACACTCGACAGAAATTCGGAAATTCAACAAAATTTGGCTCTTTAGCAATTGCGAAAAATAAACAAAAAGCGAACGAAATCGGCAAACCTCTTTTGGTAGCTAAAAAATTTCTAAATTTAATTTGAGAAATTCTAAAAAATGTTTAAAATGTTCGTAATTTAAATTTAAATAGAAACAAGAAAAGAAAATGTACACTGCACAGAATTCAACAAAATTTGGCTCTTAAGCAGTTGCGAAAACTAAAGAAACATAAAGAAAGAATAATTAAAAATGAACTGTACTAAAAGCAGGAGAAGTCTTCAGAAAAACAAAAAAAAAACTAAAGAACTAATTTAAATTGTAATTTGAGAAAAGATTTGGAAATCATAAAGAAGAAAAAATGTAACACACTCCGCGAATTCTGAAAACAATTTTAAAACGAATCCTAAAGCAATTTTAATTGAAATTGATATTCAAAAAAAGAAAAGAAATGTTAAAAAAATCTAAAAAACAAGATAAATAATAGAAAGAAAGATAAAAAAAAAAGATGTACAACAGAATGGTTAAACAAAAAATAGGAACAAACATTTATGATTTACACACACCCACACACACACACACCTACACCCAAAACCCATAGAATACTTGCACCGAAGATCGTTCAAAGAAATAAAGAAAGATAGGAAAGAAGAGAAAGGAAAAAAAACGATTTTCTTGAGTTGTTTTTGTTGTTTATTTTAAATTCAAACAAAACGAGAAGGGGCGTGTGAGACTCTTCTTACGCGTCACAACTTTTATACCCGGTACTCAGTGGAACATCTGTACTTTAACGGTCAATTTTAAATTTTACATTTTTTCTACATCTTTCATCAACATTTACATCTACATCACTTCTCACGCCAACACGCTCCGTTAGCTCGCCCCCTCCCCTAGAAACAGTCTGCAGAGGCATAGGCCGTTGACTACACGAAGCAGAGTGTGAATGAAAGAATGTGAAAAAAACATCAAAAGCTGCTGGACACGGTGGGTTTGGCCAGCGGAAATTAATTTCTTCATTGTGGCTATAATATGATCCAATCGGATCCCAATCGGATTCTCTTATCTTCAAAATTGTAGCTTTGGGAGGTTTTCGCCCTTTTGCGGGAGCGGGGCTCATATTTTAAATATGAATGCAAAATTTGGTGGCGGTAAACAAGACGGACAGACAGATATATACTCGGTTATTGATGCTGATCAAGAATGTATTTCCTTTATGGGGTCGGAAACGTTTCCTTCTGTA